TCCTTGACTGTTTTTATTGTTCTATTTTCTGTCAGTGCCTGACTCATAATAGAAACTCAGTAAATGTTTGTGGAATGAATGATTAAAGTATAGAACCATTTTAGAAGCTCAATTTGACTGTCAGTGTTGAGGCAATTTAAGGATAACAAAGATAATTTATTAGATTGTCTAGGTTTCATTTGTGTGGCCATAAAGGGAAAAACAAAATTATATTTGCATAAGCAAAAGTTATTGCAATAGTTGTCTAAAAAATTATATTTACTCTTTAGATAACATTGGCTACTCTCTTTAGATCTTAGCTATAGTTGCAGTTAATGCCTGTTTTCTCTCAGTGACCCCACCTCTTACTGTGTAATGTAGTGTAGCTTTTTTGAATGAAGAGTTTTTCTTTTAAGAATTAAATTCTGTTGTTTCCAAGGGAACTTCCCTAGAAGTAAGTCCATTGGTTTAATTCTATATTCAGTGATTCACATTATAACTCTAAACCCATGTTTTATTGGATAAATCTTTAAATATATAAACACAATTTGGTATCATCTTGAAACCTATATTTTCTCAAACATTTTTTCTTTCCAAAGCAAAACATTAGTATCAAAAATTTGTTGCAGAATCAGAAGGATCAGAGAGACCTTGGGATACAGCAGGATCTTTATTGAGTGCACTCAGACCCAGTAGATTTAACATACAAACACTAGGCCCAGAACAAAGACAGCACTTGACTTTTATACACACTTTAAAAAGAGGGTGGGCTAACTTGAAGCAAGCTCACAGTTACAGTTGAGCAAAAACAAGGATACAGATGCAGAACAATTAATTAAATTGTGACAAGTTCATAACTTAGGATTACACATGACCATTGCCAAGCAAACCAGATGTCTGTTATCTTGGTTTTGCTTTAAAGAGCCTTGCACTGGTTTATCTTATAACCTTCACTATGGTGCCTAGACAGCTGTAGTTCAGGCCTGCTCAGGCTTCATGTGACATTCTCTGTACTTTTTACATAAAACAAAATACTTGAAGTTACTAGTTACAGAGAACAAGAATCTATAAACTCATATTATAAAACAAAGGAAAATTTGTTTTTCTTCTCGCTATGTTGAGAGAGTGCTGGGAGAGTCTCCAGAGCACATTCCTTTGTGTCATGGCTTCTTAGATAGTATTATCAAGACGTTCCCTGGGTCTGGGCTGTGCCTGTTGCTGTGTCTCAAACAAGTTAGCCTAATACAGGAAAGCTTATTTCTCTTTTTAATTTTGTTTTTTTTTCTTTCTTTCTTTAATTTCCCACCTAATTTTTTTTTTGTTATATTTTACCTTCATTGTTAAAGAGAAGCATTAGTAAGAAATGTTTTGCAGTACCTCTACTCAGCACTTTCTTTATTTCCTTTCCTTCTCTTCTCTCTACCTTTCCTCTTATTTTTCTATATTTGGTAATTGCATCGCTGTTGATTCTGTGACATAAAATAATGTCAGTATCAACTGATCATAAGTATTGTTTTGTAATCATTAATGATAGTGATAACAATAATCAAATGAGGAGAAAGAAAAAAAAGGAGTGATTACTATTTGTTAATCTATGCTGAATACTTGTTTATGTTTTCTTATTTTACCCTTAAATCAACTCCATAAAGAAATAGATCCATTTTACAGCCAAAGAACCTGAAGCCCAGAGAAAATTAACTTGGTCATCAATGGATAAATATCAGAGCTAAAACATAAACCAAAGTCTACTTCACTCCAAAGCACTTTTAACCAATAGTCAAAACTACTTTTATACTACAGTGTTGGTAATGGGCCAAATTTGTCCTGCCTTCCTTCACAACAGTTCTCTGGAATTTTTGATATTCCAGGTCCTATTTGCAACAGAGTGAGGGAACTCTATGAGAAACCCACCCTTTGTGTCTCACCAAATTGGGCTCTATTTCAGCAAAGGTTTAAGTGTAGTAAAAGGCTTTATTAAAGCACAAAACCTATGCAGTATAGTACTGTGGCCTTATCTCTGGTGTGTCTCTGAGACTCACTAACAATTTTATGAACCATCTTATGAAATTTCCACAATGCCTGTGAAGCACAGAAAGAGTAAATTTAAAGATACTATTCATTATGAGATAAAAGTATCAAAAAAGCTACAGCTGTCTTCTGGCCACAAAATATTTTCTTTAATGTTGAAATGTAGTAGGTTTTCATTGTTCAGATGATCAAAGACTTATCTCAAATAGTTGGTTGTGCTAACATTAATGAAATATATTCCATAGCAAATCCCATAGTGTCTTCCTCATGACAATGACCTCAGTGAAGCTTTATACATAAAGAGTTTTAAGTCAAAGATATTCAAGAAATATGTACATTATATCTCCTTCTTAGAGATTTATAACATATTGTGCATTATGAAGTGAATATCAAATTTCATAGGTACATTTGAATTGCTAGCATGCTGATTAAAAATGCAAACCACATATTTGTAGGACAGAATTATCACCCTGGAGTGGTTTTTTAGCAGTCACCTCCTGTGATTATGTGATCAGATCATTCAAGATCAAAACTTTAAGATATTGTATGTTGAGGTTTCTGAGAAGAACCACAATAAATACAATTGTTTAATGTTGAAATGAATTTTTCCCTAAACTTAAATGACATGAACTCCACTCTTACCAAGTGCATTTTGGGAAATCCTACACTATTCAAATGACTTTCTCTATGAACTACATTTTTTGAGCTTGATTTTTTACAATTAGTTAATTTTCCAAAGGGTAAATGCAAGAATAATAAAAACAACAGCCAGTTGGTTTATTACAGCAAAACAGAGTAATTATAATATTTCCAGAGAAATGTGAGGTTCCAATTATAAATTATACCACAAGAAAAAATAAAAATATTTTTCCTTAGGCAGGGTAGAAGACTCCTCTATGTATATAAAGGAATACATAATATTTAGAATACTTAAAAAGTATTTAGAATTAGGTAGTCAAAAAGTATTTAGAATAAGATAGTTAAGAATTCAGCTATTTTTTGTCTTATAGTGACAATCTCACTTTTTCTGTATACTGTAGGCTTATTTAGAAGAACCAATTGTGTATAAAATGTGCCTAAATGTGGCCAAAGAAAGCAGGCATTTGTGAAAATTGCTGCAGCACACCAACATGGCACATGTATACATATGTAACAAACCTGCATGTTGTGCACATGTACCGTAGAACATAAAGTATAATAAAAAAAAAAAAGAAAATTCTAAAGTATTGAACTATTACATGGCCAATATTTTAAAATTATTTATTATTTATTTAGAGATTACATATCGACCACTTTTTGGTAGGCATCTAGCTGTGATCTAGTGGCGATAAATGTTGCCTCTGTCTTAAAGTTATTCACAATATATTGGGGAGGCAGGCATGATTACATATATAAAAACAACGGTAAGTGCTAAAGTTGTTATAAGCATTACTTTTACAGCCCAGAAGGGTGACTGAGTCTGTCTAGCAGTAGAAAAGATGAAATATGGCAGAAATGAGTAGTTGGTTTTCAGGGGCCTGCAGTGAAGGAAGTGGGGTAGCACACACATGGGCAAAGAAATGTACAGATACATGGTTTGTGTTCAATTAAGAGCAATAAAATATGAGAATAGAGGGAGCATGTAAAATAACCTTTAAAATCTGAATTAGAGTAGGTTTAATCTTCTGTAGGCCTTTTTATCTTCTACTCAGAATTTTCAGAGTTTAAAGTCAATTTAGCTCTCTATCCCCTGGTTCATTGCTTGGAAAGAAACTTATTTTTTTGATATCAGTGGGCCAGTGGTCTTGAATTTTATATATAATTATATATATATATATTCTTTTTTGATACAGGATCTCATTCTGTAGCCCAGGTTGGAGTGCAGTGGCATGATCACAGCTCATTGCAGCCTCAACCTCCCAGGCAGAGGTGATCTTCCCCCTTCAGCCTCCCAGGTAGCTGGGACCACAGGCATGTGCCACCACCACACCCAGCTGCTTTTGTTTTTGTTTTTGGAAAGAGGATGTTTCACCATGTTGCCCAGGCTGGTCTCAAACTCCCGGGCTTAAGCAATCCACCCACCTCAGCCTTGCAAAGTGCTGCGATTACAAGTGTGAACCATTTCACCTGGCCTAGTGTTCACAAATTATTAAACTGTTAGGCTCTGTCTTGCACATGGAAAAGATTATGAGAAATCTAACACACACACACACACACACACACACACACATATGCAGATTCTTACACCACGTATGTTGCTGTTAATTTAAAAGTATGTATATAATAAAGAAGAAGAAAGACAGGAAGAGAGGAAGGAGGAAAATTATCAGTAAGTGAAAAAAAGAAAGAGAGGAAGGAAGAGAGGAGGGAGGGAGGGAGGGAGGGAGGATTGAATATTTTAACCCTGGTTAAAATGGAAATGAAGCCCAAGTGGATCTTTTTTTTTTCTTTTTTTTTCATTGCTAACACTTCATCTTCCTTTAAACTGTTGAAGCTAGTAAGTAAGATCAGATATTCTGGCCAGTAAAATTCCTGGGATCTTAGTTCCAGAAATATTATCTTTCAAAAAAGATGATGAAGATTTTATGCAAGACAGATTGGTGGTCATATTAGTTACATTGCTTCCTAGCTTGCAATATTGATGTTCCTGCAGGCACTCAAATAATTGACATGTATGAATCACAGAGTCTGGATTCATTGCAGATATAGTAGTTTTATAATCTTTTACTTCTTTTTAAATGTTTTCCAGGGAAATAATTTTCCATTGGAATCGTACTTCTTTGTAGTAGTTGACTGCCATAAGCACCATTGTGATCCCCACACCAGCCAGGAATGTTTGATCTCTCCTTGAAATCCCACTGCTGTGGTGAAGATTTTTGTCCGTAGCTTTTGATTTTTCAGTATGGATCAAAGTGATAGAATCTCCTCAACAGGAAGAATTCAAGAGAGTGTTTTAACCCCCCCGCTTTCTTTATTTAACTTCACTGATGTATTTTCAATTACTATTTTTGTAGGAAGGCAGAACCTGTTCAATGACGCACAAAGAAAGTCCTCCAAGTAATGCCGCTGCAGAAACTGAGCCTATCCCACAGGTATGTGTTTGTTTTATTTTGATTATGTCAAAAAGCACTTCTTGAATCCATTGTATTTAACATTCTTCTCTCTTGCTCTAGCTGGGGCAGGATGTTGTACTTGCTAATACTATATAGCTAATACTATATACTATATAGTGTCTTCACCTGGTGCCCCTGGGCTTTTCCAAGGCTGCTCTGCTTTCTACTAAGCTTTTGGCTTGACTATGTGAGGCCTTCAGAAGGTCAAGGGAGAAGGGAGTTCTCCCTCACTTGCACCCTCCCTCTCACAGACCAGGAAATAAAACAAAAGTAAACAAGGATGACCAAACAGGCATATATTTATTTTTGGACAAAGTAGATTAAAAGAGGATTTGAGGAAGCAGACGAGGTGAAAAGAAGTACATATTGCTTACAAAAGCAAACAAAATAAACACAAGTTGAGAGCTTAATTCTGAATTTTTATTTGTAATTTATTATACTTGACCAAAAATATTGTATCATTGACATTCTTAATATTTATTTCACTTAATACTAAAATGTTGAGTTAGATTTAACTTATTCTCAAACTTTGAATTAGATTAAAACAGAATTGAATGGTTTGGGCAAAGTTTTCTCAAAATAGTTTTTAAAACATTTTGCTCTTTTTAGACAAAATATTGTTTTGTAGTTTTATGAAATATAATTAACATCTCTACATTTGTTTCATTTCTGTCCAGTGTTCATTTTCTCTAAGATATTTGTTGAGATCTATGAATCTTCATTCTTATTCTGTTAGTTAGACTTTTCAATTTTTACCTTAACATGTATTTATTTTGATTCTTTTAATTGTCTTTTCTGTATTGTTTAACAGAAATTGCAAATGCCTCCTTGTTCTGAATGTGAGGTGAAAAAAGCCCCAGAAAAACCATTGACCAGCTTTGAAGGGATGGCAGCTAGAGAAGAAAAAATACTGTAAATACTAAGAAACTGTGTTAAAAACGTCCATTTGCTATTGTCTTCATACTCTTTTTAGACCACAAGCTTGATGGAAATACTAAGTTTCTAAAGCATGCAACTTTTTCACAATTTTATGTAACTTTATAAAGTAGTCTACAAATTTTCAAAGATTCCAGACCAATTATGATCCTTAAGCAATAACCTAATTGAAATGAATATCCACAGTCATAAAAATTTTTTTGTCATCGGTAAATTGCCCCATATAAATTGGTCTGGTTTAACTCAAATGCTATCTAACATGTAATTCTCCTGGTTCGTTTGGATATCTAGTACTTCTATGATGTAGTTGTCAAAATCAACTAGAGGATAATAAAATATTGTGGGTTCTCAGCATTCTTAGAATCCAAATTACAATCATATCTATAAGGGTTTAGTCCACATGAGCCAACTGAAGTCACTTTCCTCAAGGTTGGAATTTGTGCCAACCTAAATACGTTGTTTCTTTGATGGTGTTTATTGCTATTGGTATTATTTTGAACTACTAACAATCATTTTGTCTAAACAATGCTAAGACAATTCTGGGTCAAGAATTTTGTCAGCTAACATAATTCATTAAGTATTTTTGGCATCATATAGACAAAATATTTGGATGAATGACTAAATTTCTGACAAGATTAAATATTTTGGCATTCTATAGACACATCTCTTATGTATGTCTACTGCAATTACTCCAAGTTAATAACCGAGTTGTCTGAAATACTTGGCAGGATTTTTGGTATGAAGTTGGGTAGCGGAGTAGGGAATGAAGAGTGAGTTCTAAAATACAAATATGAAAGCAGGTAATACCTATTACAAAGCAGGGGTTTGATGAAAGTACAATAGCCATGTTGATTCAATAAACCCAGTTGCATATTTTTTGAAAACAAATGTGTTATTGAAATAAATCAATGGCAGTGTTAATCCTTAAGAGTTCTGATTTTCTATAGGAATATCACTAATCAAATAAATGCACTCATGAATAATTGGAAAGTAGCTCACAAGCAAGTGGAATTGACCCTTGAATAATTATCTGGTTAATAGGTTTCATAGGACATTCAAAGTTGCAGACTCAGTTAATGACTACAGTTAAGTTGTCTGAACTGAAAAATCATTTCTTTTGTTTAGAACCTTTTTGCAACTGTAGAATGCATATTAAACCATTGGTTTTACAGGATGGATCTGTCAAACCACAATATATACATTTGGATCAGTGTATCCTAGAAGATAATTAATAAAAATATATTAAAGGAAGTGTGTAATCAATAGATGAACTTAGATTCTGAGATTTAATGGCATACCTCTGATCAAAATGGCATATTGAAATAAATTTAAAGTTTTGGAGAATTGGAAAATATCATTAGCTGTAAAAGTAACATTATCATGTATTTATGTAGCAATTCTATTTTCAGAATGGTTCAGTGTCACTTATTGGCACAGACAGGTGCCAACCACAGTGGTTCAACTTAATGATTTTTTGATGATTCCGTGAAAACTTCATAATTTCTATATACTTTGAATTTTGAATTTTTGTTTTTTGTTTTTTTGGAGGGCTAGTGATACATGGTCCATGAGATATTCAACATTTTATTATAAAATAGGGTTTGTGTTAGACAATTTGCCCAACTGTAGGATGAGGTATATGTTCTGAGCACATTTAAGCAGGTTTAAGTTAGGGTGGGCTATGATTTTCCATAGGTTAGGTATCTTAAATGCATTTTAGACTTACAATGTTTTCAACTTTGGATTTGTTTATCTGTATGTAACCCTATTGTAAATCAAGGGGCATTTACATTTTTCATAAAACCAGCTACCCAAGAAAAAAAGATAATTAGCTTTATGGATGATCTATAGAGCTTTCAGATGAAGTCACCAGGATAAAATAAAAGATCAAGGTCTGAAGTTTCTGCTGACTCCTTCATATTTCTAAAAATAATTTAATTATAGAAACTAGAATACTGCTAGTCTCGCAAGTCCTGTTCCTTGTAATTTTCCCACTGTGCTCAGTGGCCCTAACCATCTCCATAGTTTCATGACAGGGAAGCAGATCATTTATTTTTAATTTATATTCAGTCTCCCACCTCCACCCTGGGGCCCAACTTCCCTTGTAGGCCCTGTGGGTCCTATGGAAAGTTATTCACCATGTCATCTAGCACAGCATGTTTTGAAGCATCTTTGGAATGAAAAAAAAGGAGAATCAGGCTGTTATTTTCTGAAATTGTCATGAGAGATAACATGTTGAACGGTAAGAACTCAGGTTGATATTAATCACGTTTTCATCAAGCTTCATTTTAAAGTTGTTTATTTTCTCTATGTTCTAAATTTCTTTTATTAATTCCTGGCTTGATCAAGTGGGCTTTGGATCCATATGATTTTTTTTTTTTTTTGAAATGAAGTCTCGCTCTTGTTACCCAGGCTGGACCGCAATGGTGCGATCTCGGCTCACTGCAACCTCTGCCTCCCGGGTTCAAGTGATTCTCCTGCCTCAGCCTCCCGAGTAGCTGGGATTACAGGTACCTGCCACCATGCCCGGCTAATTTTTATGTTTTTAGTAGAGACGGGGTTTCACCACGTTGGCCAGGCTGGTCTTGAACACCTGACCTCAGGCGATCCACCTGCCTCAACCTCCTTCCAAAGTACTGGGATTATAGGTGTGAGCCACCGCACCCGGCCAATGTATTTTTTCCTTTAAATATATATGGCATTATACATCCAGCAAAGTTTACTATGTTATATTCATTGCATCATTTGTTTTAAAAAACAAAAAGAAACTTGTAGCAGGAGACCTTTAAAAATATTTTTAGGAGTTCCTTTTAATAGCTAAGTTTGAGATTCTTTTTTTGTATATTCTATGACTGTACCTTAATGAATACATTTTATTTATCTCAGTTTCTAATTGCTTTAAAATATAATCAGATAAGTTAAAAATGTTTCTCTTACATTTGTGAATTTGTGTATGAGAAAGGAGCCATTTCTTACATCTTTTAATTAACAACTAAATAAACAGATATTGTTTTAAAGGAATTAACACTTAAATCCCAACCGTCCTTATATGGAATAAAATATCAACCTAAATGTTGATTATAGAGAGTATAATTCTATTATGTACCTGTAATGATAAGCAGTGAAAGATTACTTACATTTTGAAAAATATGTAATTGATTCTTATTAAGAAAAAAGATATTTTCCAATGGAATAACTTGTTTTAATAGAGATACAACCAGAACCAACAATTGTATTTCTCTATAGTTATTTTAAAATAGTAATCAATGCTATGTATTTGATGTATTTGTTTCCAAATTAGAAATTTCTTTTGGCTTTGTGTTTTCTTTTATGTGCATTAAATATGTAAACTGAACCTGTTCCTAAAATGCATTAAACTTAAATGAGTGCTGTGTCTATCCAATGCCAAAATTCTCAGAAGAAAAGTGAATAATTCAGTCATTCATCTGGATGTGGTTTTCTGTGTAATCTCAAGTATCTGAATATTGAAAAAACTAGGTTGCTAACTTTTTTCATTCCTTATGCAGATGTTTAGCATCATAGTGCTGTTTCAGATACAGATCTGTTTCATAAAATATCCTCAATTACAAGTCTAAGACAGTTATATGTAAAGAAAATGTACTATTTTAGATGAGCAATGTGGATAACCGAACTAAAACAATATTTGTGAACTTTGCTATAATGAAATCTTTTATTTTTATAGCTCAGGTATTGTAATTAGCACTAATTGCAGCAGAGGCTGAAATAATTATTGACACCATAGCGTACCATAGAATAGGTTGAACTGGCCAGACCTAGAGAGTGAAGAAAACATATACTGTTTACTTAGGAGACATTTTCTTAGTCGTGTGTATAGTCCTAAACTTCCCCAAACTATGTGTTCATTTGGATTGTGTTATATAATATTAACAGTCGAATGATGAAGAATAAAAGATGCTGAAAGATGGCCTATTTTTGTTCAATAAAGATTGTTACAAGAATATAATGTATATTATCTTACATAAACTAATTGAAAAAACAGATATGAACATTAAAAATGGTACTTGCTTCTGTGTATCAGGATCTAAGAACTTTTCTTAAATAGCATCTTGAAATTTTCTTTAATCTTTCTTTGCCGGTGCCCCTAAAATCTTTTATTTTGCATGTGCTTTCTTTAAAAAATATGGAGTTCCATGGTGACAGGGATTTTGTCTTTTTTAATTTAAATTTTTATTTTTAATTTATGAATTATTATTGTGATATGTAATAGGTACAATGTGATGTATCTCTATATATGAACACACAAGTAGTGGAATGATTATATCAAGTTAATTAACATATCCATCATCTCACAAATTAATCTCAAGTGCTTAGAGCTAGCTGCCTCATAGAAGATGCTCAAACATTTGTTGAATAAATTAATTTAGATGCTGAAACAGCAAGGGAACAAGCAGGGGAACAGCAAGGGAGCATGTATTGGCATGAGGACAGAGAACCATAAGAACCAAAAATAAGCATTTTGTTTTGTTTGTTGAGTTGTTTTGTTCTTAGACTATCTTTTTTTTTAACATTTTTTTTTTTTTTTTTCCCTGAAAGATTTAGCAATAGGCCTGTGGCTGGGACTTTCTAAGCAGAGTAGATAAGGCACTCCTGGGTAAATTTTGAAATGTAGGTCAATGCAATCGAAATATTTCACGTGGACTTTATGAGTCTTTAATTGACACCCACTTCTGACACACACTTGGACATGCACAGGTTACTTCTTTTAGCATTCGTTTCCTAACCTATTGGGTCTTAAGCAGTTGGCTTAAAACAGAGATTTTCTTCTACTTTCTGAAGAGACCTAGCCCTAACTTTTTAGTAGAAATAACTCTAGGGCTGCCGAGAGGTAAATGAATATCAAGAGGATAGGACTCTGGTTTTTTTTTTTTTTTTTTTTTTTTTGAGACAGAGTCTCACTCTGTCTCCCAGACTGGAGTGCAGTGGCGTGATCTCGGCTCACCACAAGCTCTGCCTCCCGGGTTCACGCCATTCTCCTGCCTCAGCCCCCCAAGTAGCTGGGACTACAGGCGCCTGCCACCATGCCCATTTTTTGTATTTTTAGTAGAGACAGGGTTTCACCTTGTTAGCCAGGATGGTCTTGATCTCCTGACCTGGTGATCTGCCCATCTCGGCCTTTCGAAGTGCTGAGATTACAGGCGTGAGCCACCGCACCCAGCCCAGGACTATGGATTCTATAATCCCTTCATCTTCAACTAAAATATTTATTATTTTACATAATTTATTTGTTGGGCTTATATAATGTGCATATACTTTTATTGGAGAAAGCGTGTCCAAGTCTAAAGTAATTTGAAAGTCACAGATCAAGAGGATCTCTATGATCCCTCCTTCCTATTTGTTCATTCAGTCAGCCATTCAATCATTCAATAAATATTCTTTGAGATTCTGATATGTGCCTGGCATTCTACTTGTTACTGAGGATCCAAATGTAAGCAAAAGTAATAGTTATGAATACCAGTATGTTTCAGTTACACCATTCATTCTTTTAGGTGATTTAAAAAAATGTATTAAATATTCTCAGGATTCTTTGAAATAGACATTACAGTTATCATTATTTCACAGTTGAGGAAATTGAGATAGAGAAGTAGCAATTAAATTACCCCAAATCATACAGCTAGTAAGAGGAAGAGGGGAGATATGGACCTGGAAATGAGTTACTGGAATCCATGCATTTAACAACTTCAACATGCAGGCTCTCCTGCAAAGACTGGGGCCCTGCCCTGATGGAATTTCAAGTTTTAAAAAAGAGAGACAATGATTAATGAAGGAAGCATACAGATAAATGCATTACCGCAACAAATACAAACGTGAGTTCTCTTTATAGCATACCGTAGCATAGAGTCAGGAATATCTGAATGTCTTAGCTGTGCACAGGCTTGATGGAGAAAATGATATTAAGCTAATTTTAATAAAAATGTGATGTTTGTATGGATGTTCAAACCTTCAAAAAGGAAATTTTCTGGTATTCGATACTAGCTAACAATATTTGAAAGTGCAAACTTGAATTCGCATAATTAGATATTTGCTAATTAGTGCTGTGCAAAAAAAGGAAAGCATCATATGGTAGAATCATTGCTTCCTATTTCCTGCAAGCTATAATATCTGGCTCTATTGGGTATAAATGATCCTGAAATGTAGGATTCTTCCATAAACCTTAATTTCTAGGGCTTAAACTTGTAGTATTCTCTCTCTCTCCCTCTCTTTGAAAAGCCCTGAGTTTAATATTAAAATTATTGATTGAAGTTGTCTGTGGAGTGGTTATAGCATTCGCATCATCAATCAGTGTGGTGTGAATGCATTTCCCTTTTCTCCCTTTCTTTTCTCTCCCACTCGTAAATTCCTTAACTATTTTGAGAACACCATTTCCTTTCTTGGCTTGTAGATACAATAGAATCTTGGGAAAAAACAGAATATGTTTGTTCACAGAAAATCCAGGATGATTTGAATGAAGCTCCTGGAGGAAACGGTTGACCTCTATACCTGGTTAACTGCGGAATGAGCATGCCTTCCTGGGCCACATCTCTATCCAGGATGAGAACAAGAGAAGGCACCCTGTAGTGGGTCATGAGTAAAATGTGATGCTGACACTCGGGACATAAGAGCCACTAAGAATGACAAGTCTGGGTGATTTTGACAGATCTTGCTGAAGTAGATGGGTCATAAATAAAAATGAATTATTTACTAGATGTGTTTCCAGTCATTACTCATTGACCATGTAGGTGCTTTAATGAATATTAGCCGAATTAATAACTACAAGTTTGAAAAAGTATGTGATAGATGATAAATGTTCTTCAAATCATCAGAACTTGAGATCAGCTAGGTGTGTCCAAAAAGTAAATTAGATTATTAAGATGACATAATTAATTCTAATACCCTTGAAAGAGAATACGCCTTCTTACGTTTTATTCTCTTTGGAGGAAAAACAGCCTGTTTGTAAGTATTCGACTTAATATGAGTAAGGGAATAAGAAGGTGGTTGAGGTTTGGGGCAGTATAAACACTGAGATACCCTCACTTTTTCCACGATGAATACATAGACTGGTTTTTGAATGCGGAATTAGGGCAGATCTTTCTCTACAACATTAAAAAACACTTGTCATTTCCTCTTTCATTATCACTTCATTTAGGGAGTTTGCACCTAAAGGCTTTTTGGTATTTGAGTCTCCAAATAAGTTTTAGATATTCCTATGATGCATTTGTTTTACCCATTGACATGACATCTATTAACTGAAACCTAATAACTTTTCATGTTTGTTCCTATGGACAAATATGTGCATTGTTTGTGCTTGTGCGTATTCTTGTTTGCATAGGCCTGTTGTAGGCATTATTATAGTAATTCCATACACATTTGTGCTCTCTGGCATTTGTACACATTCTTATTTGTGGATGGGTAAATTTAGCATATAAATAACCTCATATGTTCACATCTCTCCACATGGATGTACATGCCTTCATGATGTTCATTAATATTAATTCATCAAAATACACATACACTATATGTATATTTATGATATGTTATATGTGTTGAATACATTTCATATATAGATCAGTTGAGTACCTTTTTATACCCTGATTCCATTTACATGTTTCATAGTATTTGAACATAGGAATTCTAAGAGCATAGTAGATAACTGCATATTTATAGTTAAGTGAGAGTCCAATGCTGTTGCAGTGAGCACACTGTGTTAATTCATGCTGTGGAAGTGAACACACTAAATTAGCATACCACTTCAGTTACTTGATAGGGTAGCCATCCTCAGTTCTCAAGTACAAAGGCTTGGTTCATATGCCTCTTTATGTTTTCTCATTCATCTACACTTAGATCTACACCAGAGAGTTATATTTGGAACTATTTGCTGGATGCACTAAAGCGGGGGATTCCTTTTGGCATGGTTTTGCATGCATGTAACCTCAAATGGATTTTGTAGATGATCTTCATTGTTACCAAAACATTTTTTATTTGAGGAAAATTTTGCAAGTATTTACACTAGATAATATCGACTGTGACTATACTGGAACAAAGGTATTCTGATAGAGAAAAAAAAGAATGTAATCATAAGATCCAGGAAAGAGAGGTATTTTATTTATCTTAACTGATAAGAAGAGAATGTTCTAATGACAGGTATTTGCTGTAGAAGTTTCTAGGCATAGCTTACCCTGAAATCAATACACTTTTGAAAATGTCTGTTTATGAGGAAATACATTGCTAAGGTTTTGTCTTATTGTCTATAAAAAATAAAATTATGTTACTTTGTTTTCTGTGTTTTATTTGAAATTTGGGTGAATTACAATAAAATCCATGTTTATAATGTACAGAATAAAACACTAATTAATCCATGGTGGAATTGCTAAGGTTAATGGGCTTTTACTTAAGATGTGATGTGCTTTATATAATTTTATTTTCACAGATAAACAGAAGATAGATATGTCTGTTTGATTCAAATTATCTAGTTTCTATCAACTTCAACTTTACCAGGTGACCTGGTACATAATTCTTTTTTTCCAACACATCGTAAGATTTAATATCTCCTACTAGTCCATGAAATATGAATAAACAATGCAAACTCACAAATTATTTTTTCTAAAGGTTGATGCATGTATAGGCCAAAGGCTAGAGTGGACATTGTGGTGGTAGACTTTTAAATGAAATACTCAGAAGACTTCTTGAACTTGGCTCTCAATTCTGTGTCTTGAAATACACTATTTTAGGCCAGATTTTCTAAAGGTTACTTTGCTGCATACATATGTCTCAACCTTGAGGAGTGTACACATAACTGTCCATAGAAGTGGTAAAATATGTTTATAAGCAAATGCTTTGGAGGTAGACTGTTAGCATTACATTTTTAAATCAGTTTTTTATGTTTGTGTTCTCAATTAGCTAATCTGTGTGTTTCAGTGCTTCCATCAGTAGATTAGGAATAATAAGATAGCATACCTCAAGATA